TTATTTTAATTAATTTCTAAAAAATCCCCTCACCTCTCTATAACTCCACCCACCTCCCTAATTACTTTAAAAGTTTATTTTATTGCGTCAAAGCTAATATTCTCATGTTTTCTCTATTAATTAATTAAATATATAATTAAATCTAGTTTACTGTTAAACCACCAATCCTCACTTCTACACTAACCAAAATTCACCAACTTAAATTATTAAACTAAACACACTCCAAAACTCTATAAAAAATAAATATAAAAAATCTGAGTATTACAATATGGGTTTTACGACTTAGGAACCAACGACCTACGAATACACATGAAATAGTTATTGTATGGAAATCATAATTGTCATTATGGTTCATAATTTTGGATGACGTTACTCTTGATAAGATGGTGTATGATCATTGGTTCACACGCAGGCTCATGGAGATTATCTACCATTTGATATGTGTCATCTTTGTATTCCTAACATAGCTAAAAGTATATATAAGGGTAAACCACTTCCTTTGCTATTTTGGCTTCCTCTTATTCTTTCGTTTTTACGCCCCTTGTTGCTCTAATCTTTCATATTTTTATCACCATTGCCAAGCTTTGTGTGAGACTATTCTCCAAATAATGAAGTCTCTCTCTTGGTTTTGGATCATCAACTTCACCAATATTTCATATTTTTATGACACTTTTGGATCTTCTTTCAATAGTACATTTGCACTCTTTAATATTTTGAAATCATACATTATGTCTCATGTTTTCACGACAAAAATTGATATTACGGGCTAGAGGATACAAATTCTGAAATGACATAAATGGTTTCTCTTTGTTCAATTATGTCATATGCATGTATATATTGTATTGATGTGCATTAGTAGGCATGCATATATTCCTAAATGATATTAGGGGCTATATCATATAAGTAAATTAGCTAGCTGTTTTCTTACATTGATAATTTATCACAAAGGCATGCATTATGTCCTATAATAAGAATAAATAGGTAGCCAATTAATCTGGGGTAAAATCACCTTAGGGGTCCTTTAAGTTGTTTTTTTGTAACAACTTGGTCCTTTAGGGTGATTTATACCTCATTTTTTCTCACATTTTGAATATTTAGAAATGTTGATTGTTGTATTTCTAGTTACACTTCATCATTTTCATACCACTCAAAATAATTGTATTCATAATGAGCATCTTTTTCTGTTAAAAAAGGGCAACAATACACACATTTGATAACTTAAAGAACTAAATTGTTACAAATAAAAAACTTAAAGGACCTCCGATATATTTTTGCCTAATCTGGAAACCTACCTACCTCATTGTATGGTTGAATTTTGGTATGGTATTTTGTTCAGTTTGGCAGTGGGGATGTAATTGTAAACACTTTGATGTTAAAGTGGTGACTGCCATAAGTGTGAAGTTTTCTAGGTTAAAATTGTGTACTTGAGATTGATGTCTTTTGGCTTTTATAGTAGGCCCTAGAACCTTCTTCCTATGACACTTATCTTAAAGAACAATTGTCAACAGATCTCATGGCATTATTATCCAACAACCCAAGATGTTTAGGCGACTTTGATGTTATGAATATCTAGGGTGAGAAAACCTCTTGAGCTACTTCTTAACTAATGTATCATAGTTTTGAATGAAGTAACTCTTAATAAGTTGGTGTTTGATCATTGGTTTGCAAGAATGCCCGTGGTGATTATATACCATTTGATATGTGTCATCTTCGTATTCCTGACTCAGTTAAAAGTATATATATATATATATATATATATATATATATATATATATATATATATATATATATATATATATATATATATATATATATGGGTAAAACACTTCCTTTTCACTTTTGACTTACTCTTATTCTTCCGTTCTGATGCTCCTTGTTCCTCTGGTCTTTCATTTTTTATCACCGTTGCCAAACTTTATGTGAGACTATTCTCCAAATCACGAAGTCACTTTGTTGGGTTTGGGTCATCAACTTCACTAATATTTCATATTGTTTATGATGCTTTGGGATCTTCTTTCAACAATACATTTTTAGTCTTTAATATTTTGTTTTTCCTTTATATTATGGTTCCTTTAATGCATGTGGTAGATTCTCCCTCATCCGATAGTGGTACTTAAGTTTTAATAGGAAACTAATCCTTCTAGTTTTGATGATTCTCTTCAATCTCTCCCCTTTTTTGGTCGTTCCAAGGGTTGTTATGCTAAAGCAAGTATTAATCTGCATTGGTTACATGCGAGTGACTATAAAATACGTGTAAGAAAAGGAAAATATTATATTCAATCTTTTCATGTAAAACGAAAGGGTAGGTAAGCAAGTTTCTTTCATTTGAATCATTATTACTCTTTGTGCTGACATGTATCATAGCAAAGACAATAAAGTACCTTGGCCTATGACGGAGTGTAAATTTTGTAATGGTTGTTAGACCTAGTAATGTGAACAATGACTATTTGTGGTCTCTACCCATCTATTTTGGCCATGATTATGTGACTTCTTACGTGATGGTTACAGATGTAGGTGGGCCTTTTGGGGATTGGGATATGAAGGCTCATTCTACATCTAATTGGATTTGTAGTGAGTATGTCATCTTTCCCTATGTATGACATTGTTTTCATATGGATATGGACTTACCTTCTGTTTTTCGTGTTTGAAAAATAAATTTCATGGAAGTTTTATGTGGAGCCCTATCAACTTTCTCTCATTTGTAGGGACTTGATTCATTCTTTTTAACTTGTATGACACATTTCAAGGCACAAGGGTCGGGTGTGTCCTCTTTCACAAGTTCTCCTTGATTTGAGAGTCATCTAGTGATATGAATCTCCAATGGTTGATTTATTTCATACGATCCCCCAAGGTTTGAAGTTTTCAGTGAGTCCCTTAAAATTTTCAAATTTATGTAATGTGATTATAATGAAACTTTTGTCTGAGATGGCCCATAAGGTCGTGTGTGCATGAAAAGAAGAAGATAAAAAATTGTCTTAATAGGTTTGTCATTGCTGAAAAAGTTTTATATCTAATAGATTTGTCGTTGCTGCAAGACAATTTAGTTTGCAACATGATATAAGGTAATGCAGCAACTGCAATGTGCATGTATACTCACTCTTTCACCAAGTATAATTTATTCACCGGAATTTAAATTCAAAGTTGAAGAATATTAAAGTAATATCTTGTTCTTTTAGAAACAACATGAATATGTACTAGAAGATTATTATTAACTCGAAGAAGTGTTTTATTGTCTTTCAAATTTAACTATAAACATGGCATGTTATTGTCAATGATCTAAACATGGATACTCTTGTTTTTGTGCCTATTGTTTCGAATTACCTTCTCTAATAGAAAGGAAAAACTATATTTATACCATAGCAAACTTTTCTTTATTTATGTTCTATTTTTTAAAAAAGAATTTATTTGATATACACTGTGACATTATGACCATTAGATTTTTATAATTATTTGATTTTTATTCTAATCACATTTAAAATAGTACTTATGAATAGTTGTGATACATCAATTTGTACAATTTTTTACACTAACAAAACATGTCATTTAATTTCTTTTTTAATGGTAAATTAACATAAAAAAATACACAACCCTTAATAAAACCAAACTAATACAAACCACTGTGAGGCTATGTAGATAAATGACTAATGCTTTTAAAAACCAACATCAAAAGAATCAGGTTAGATCTCATACCATCAGCTCGACCATTAACAAATTAGAATCTATCAAGAAAACACTAAAAGTTATCCACCATTATCTACCTTTGAATGAAGTCAGACACTTGATCCGTCATTGTTGTAGGCAGAAAATAGAGTTCTGAATTCAGTCAAAGAAAGTATAAGAGTTCACCCTGATCTACTTAGAAATCATTTTCAAGTAAAAAATTCTTCTTATCCATCTCTTTCACAAATTTTGCAATATCATTAAAGATAACATTGTTCCAGACTCTCCAAATTGACCATATTACGGCATGTCAAATCGTAATAAAATCACCTATATATTTGATTTTACCCTCTAAAAACAGGAAAGACTAAAAAACAAGCTTAGGTTCTCTATAGAGTACTACATATCAACCAGAGTCGTCTCAAACTTTTGAGAGCCTTGTGTAAGAAGCTGAAGTTAGCTTAATTTGATTCGTAAAATTTTTTAAGAGACCCTATTTAACCATAGATAAGTGTACGGAGGCCTTTTTTTCAAAGTTTAATCATGAAAAAAATGTGAGACAACGTGTTATATGTCGTCTTGCACACATTCAAAGAAGATTTTAAAGTCAGCCTAATCACTGAAAAATTATATACTACATAGACAATGATAAATCACAAGTGACAAAATGAAAAATGAATTCCACCAAAATCTCATACAAAAAACATAAGATCCTACTAAAATTGGCGATCACCTTCCGATTAGACAAGTTCTCCTTAGAGAAAAATTTGTCTTTTAGAAACTGTCCGGAAAAAAATGATCACTTAAAAGAAATTCAACTATTTTTTTACGATTATAAAATTAATCTTATTTTCATTTTATTTAAACTTTATTACATTTTTGGAGTAATATGGATCTAATCTATTAATGACATTAAATGAAATGGAATTTTTATTCTACCAATGTTGGATGGGACTATCTTCTTCACGTGCAAATGGTTTAAACAATACCCTTTAGTTGAAAATTAAGCAACTTCTAAACATCTTCATTAAAAATATTTTGTAGCCATTAATAACATACACTAATTTTTATAATGGAATCCAATTGCATCACAACTCTTCATATAAACATCAATGACATCTTGTTCCCTTGATTCTCTTAGTTGTATTTCTACATAACACATTAACATAATTTCTCTCATCTCATAGACAACTTAGTATTAAACAAATCAAATAAAATTTTATTTATTGTCACAATCCAACATTAGGAAATTTCATCCAAAGATTGATCAAACCATACGATTGTAGTCTCCCTATATATAATCATCATCTTCCAAAGATTAAATCTCACATCTTCAAAAAATGGCCAAGTTTATTTTCTTATGCTTTTTATTAGCAAACACTCTTCTATGTCATGTTATGGCTACAATTACAAATCAACCTCAAAGTAATGTCCAATCAATTTCATCACCATCTTCAAATGCTCCTTCTCAAAGTCCCTTTAGCCAAAGAGCAAATGAAGTTGAACCCTCTATTGGAAGAAAACTTGGTAAGCACCAATATATATCACCAAGTCCTAGCCCTTTTGAAGGAAGTATTCTTAGTCATGAAAAAACTTCTGTTTTGGATTCTCAAAGTCATTTTCATTTGGTGAAACAACATCATTCATTTGATAAGTCTATAGCTGGTGGAGGTGTTATTCTTGGAGGACTTGCTACAACTTTTTTGGTGGTTGTTTATTGTTATATTAGAGCCACTTCAAAGCACAAGTTAGATACTACTACTACCTAGTGCTCAAAAACTTTTTTTTTTCTTCTTATTTTGTTTGTTATGTATAGTGTGATTTGAATAATTTTTGGTTCACTTTTAGATCAATTATTTGTCGCCATTGATATATTATAAAATAAGAAGTTTTGATTATTTTATGATATATCAAGGGCTACATTGAAAAATCATCTATTGTGAACCAAAGTTCAGTTGGAACATATTCACACAAGTTTTTGTGTTGTATAGAAATATTGTATAAAAAATCTATATTTATGTTGGCCCAGATTTTTAGTGAAGGTAATTATGTAAAAAGTGAATGCATACAAAATGGTATTGGACGAAAAATGAAAGATATGGTTTAAGAGATTTTCTACATTGTTTAAATAATGAAGTACAAACGTTAACAGAGATGATGAATATGCATGTGTTTAGTCAGCCAAATCCAGTGATGAATAAATGCGTGGAGGGTGAAGACAAGGGCCTTAGCCATGCGAATCTATGCTCCACTTTGAGTAAACTGTGTCTGTGGGAGAAGAAGTTGTATCATGAATTCTCTTGTGAAAGCTCTCAATTTCTTAAGTTTGTGTTGCAAATAATTACAGTGACAATTTATTATTCAAGCAATAGAATCCAGGAACAATAACTCTATTCTCATATTGATTTTAGAACCTTAAAGAAAATATTCAAGTGAACATGGCGGCAATGATAGAGTAAGGATTATGATTAATTAGAAGTAGAATTTATATTATTGTTATTTAATTTGTAATACTTTTTAGAATGTTCTTAGGACCTTAAAATATTATTGAGGTGGGCTTTAATTAATTATTGGGTCTTTAGTTACTATCCAGTACTACTATTATATATGTACTCATTGAGAGACGGCAAAATTATCAAATGAATGAAAAAAATTTATTTCCTTAGTTTATCTTCTTAATTCTTAGGTTTCTCTAAGTTTGTTAGAGTTTCCAAATTAGCATCCTAACAATTTATCTTTGAGTTTACTTTTCCAATCCTTAGGGATGCTCTCTCACTACAGTGAAAAATCATAATTGTTATAGAATTTAGAGATATATCTCTGAGCGTGTTTTTTATACACATGTTTTAGCATTTCATAATTTAAAATCTCCTATTTTGTCTATAAAATTTGTTCAAAAATGCATATCTGGAATCCAAAGATGCACTTCTGTAAAAATCTACAGTAATTGATTCTTTCATCAAAACACTAAATTTACTCGTCAGATGCAAAGTGAAGGGTGGAGTGGGTAAGATAAATTCTAAACTCTACAAAATTGATTCTTTGGTGAAACACTAAAACACTAAATTCTTTGATTCTTTGGCATCCATGTGTTATGTCCTCACGTGATGCATCATACTGAAATGATATGGTTGCTTCATGAATGAGTTCTCTTTCATTAGGTGTCATGATATGCACTCCCAAGACATTGCTGTAGATTTTTATGAAAGTGTATCTTCAGATTTCGGAGATGCATCTCTAGACATATAAACAAAGTACTTTGCATATATATGACCAAAATGTTGATTAATAATTTTTTTATAAGTGCTAGTAGATATGACAACACTGCACTAGCAAGTGGAGTCAGACCATAATTTTTTGAATGATCGTTGTTTCATACGAAAATCAAAATTGTTGGGGTAGATTTTTGATGTGGTGGTGCGTGAGTGAATGAAAAGGAGTAGAGTGAATTATACATAGAATCATACCTTTTTACTGCTGGTGTGAAAAACAATATCAAGAATAGAGTATAATAGGTTTCTTGATTTCCAAGAAACCCCCATGGGCAAGAGAGGGAAGCAAGAAGAACAAAATGAAATTGGTTATCAACTGATATTCTTTACTTTCTTTTTGAAACAAGATTACAAGTGTTACAGAATAACAAATAACCATCTCATCTAATTAGGATTTTCCTTGTGCAATGATGAGAGACTGGTATGCTATTTATAAAAAAACTAACATACCAAACTAATGGGCTTTTATACACAGACTCATTACAAGTTAACTTAGGGAACAAGGTAACTTAAAAAATTGAGCATAACAAACAAGTCCAATTCTACATGCTAACAAACATAGGAAATATCGACTAATACATGTTAGAACAACTTCGACTACAACATATACTATTTCAACATCAACATGCAAACAAGCTTCGACCTCATACTTAATTCTTGTCAGACTATAAGTTATCCCTTCGACCATACTAGAGTTCGATCTAATATCTCACAAATCTCTACCTTGGAATAGACTCTATAACATCAAGAAAATAAGCTAGCTTTCTTCATGCAGCTTTATCAATTGCATATAGTAGAAAAACTTGCAACTTGGCACAGTCTTGATGATCATATTAGTAGTATTATGATTTGTCGAAACCTTCAGCACTTGGACTTCTCCATGCTCGATTATCCCTCTGATGAAATGCAGCCTCACATCGATGTGCTTGATTTTCTCATGATAGGCTGAATTCTTTAACAGGTGTATTGCACTTTGACTAACACATTTAGTAGTGATAAATCGACCTTAAAGTTTTAGATCCTTAGTAAAACCTTCAAGCCACAATTCTTCTTTCACCGCTTCAGTGAGGGTAATATATTCTGCTCCAGTGGTAGATAAGGAGACAACCTTTTAAAGTGTCGCTTTCCAACTAATTGGTGTGTCAAACATAGTGAACACATATCCAGAAATATATTTTAGGGAATCAATACAATCTACATAATCAGAGTTAACATATCATTCGATTAGTGTTTTACTATCTTCAACACAAGCTCCACCATAGATTAGGACTCAGTTCGGAGACCCATTTATGTACCTTAGAATCCACTTAAATGCTTGCCAATGATCCTTTCTTAGATTCATCATGTACCTACTTACAAGACTTACTGCATATGTTATGTTGGGTCTAGTACATACCATAGCATACATCAAAGAACCTACTATGTTAGCATGTGGGATGCTATTCATATAAAGCTCTTTCGACCTTAATACTAGGACATTGGTCTATACTTAACTTGAATTGAGAGTTTTTTGGTGTCACAACAAGCTTTGAATTTGACATACCAAACTTGTTGAGAATCTTTCGTAGGTATGCCTCTTGAGATAAGCATAATTTCGATTGCTTTATATCTCTTCGTACGTCAATTTAAAGAATCCTAGAAGCAGCTCCCAGATCCTTCATGTCGAACTCCTTATTGAGTTCAACCTTCACCTTTATTACATCCTCGGCGTTGTTTCTTACCATGAGAATACACTACTACAAAAGATGTAAACAACAAAGCCATGATCACCATTGCTCTTCACTACATCGTGGTGACATTTCTAAACTAAGGCACTCCCATATTATATTTGTTTTTTAGTTAAAAATTATTTATATATAACAACGGTTGTTAAGCCAAATGTGGTAAAACTATCAAGCTTTCATGGGTTCGAACCTCAACGTTATCATATATATTATTCCTTTAATCTTAAGGCGTGCCTTTTCTTTTTTATTTATTTATAAATAAAAAATTTAAAGGGATATGACTACGGTTGGTATGTTCCACTGTTGCGATATATTTATAATAAATAAATACTTATCAATATAGTTGTTAGAGTTAAACGTTGTGAAATATTTTACCCTTATATTTGCGAATTAACTCTCACTTATTAACAGTAGCGTTGCTTCCTTCACAGTGAAAACCTAGCACTCATTTTTTCTCTTCTTCTTCGCCATTAGCCGTGAATCTTGTGCTTTATATGTTAAGGTATTCTTCTTCGTCTATTTTCTTGTTAGATAGTTCTCCATTATCTCGTTTGTTGCATTTTTTTTTATTGTTCTCAGTCTTCACTACCTTAACAAAGACCATACTTTGGCTATGGTATATATTGTTTGTGTAGCTATGGAAAAAGTACAAGAAGCATGGGGCTATGATAGAAACTTCATCCACCTTGTACTTCTTCTTCATAGCTTCATAAACAAGATGATTTGCATACCCCGTTGACAAATAAGTTTGCGGTTCCACATGTTGATAACTTACATGGTTATTGTAGGACTCAACAAGAACAAAACATATTAGTAAATGAAGAAACAACAACCGCAACAAACTTCATCTAGTTTGAGATACAATAAAAAGAAATTTAAGTATGAAGTTGTTGTGTAAACTTCTTCCTCTTTAAAGTTCTTCCTCATTGCTTCATAAACTATATGAACTTCATAATTGATTCTTGTTCCACGATTAGTTTTAATAAAAGGTGCGTCCTAGAAATTTATAATATATCTTTTTCATTGCTCACAAATTTATAGTATTTGGTTATGTTGTATGATATTGTTTGAGTTTATTATATTATATGTAGATTTTTTGTTTCACTAACCCTCGCTTAAAATACATTCATTTAAATTGAAATAGATACTTATAATCTGAAAATTAAGTTGTATTTGAAAACCAACTTATATCAATTATTATTTCCGAATTGCATGCGTCTCATCGTTCATTTCATGTTCTTTTACATATAGGTTATGATATAATAACTTGGATCCTTAGATGCATTGTTGTCTTCGATTATAGTTAAATTTCATTAACTACAATTTATTAGATAATTTGCCTCATCATCAACACTAATGATCATAAAAATTACAATTATAAAAATTACGATTATAAGTGATGATGATAAGGTAGACTATCTAATGTCTTGTTGTTATGGAAATTTAACTATAATCTAAGATAACGATGTATCAAAGGAGTTAGACGAATAAACCATAATATATATGTAAAAGAGCATGAAGTGCATGATGAGATGCATGCAATAAAAAAACAATGGTTTATTTAAGTTGGTTTTCAAGAATAGCTTAATTTTCCGATTATAAACTTCTTCATCAATTTGAAAGCTTGTATTTTTTTAGTGAGGTGTATGGAAAACAAGCAATCTATATATTATATAATAAACTATGGGTACTTTTCACAACGGTTATCTATTGTAACCGTGATCAAAGGTCACTTATGTTTTACATAATTTGCTTCTGATGGGTTTCTAACCC